TCTCTCTCTCTCTCTCTCTCTCTCTCTCTCTCTCTCTCTCTCTCTCTCTCTCTCTCTCTCTCTCTCTCTCGCTCGCTCGCTCGCTCGCTATCAGATTCGGATGTCCACAACATGTCTTGTCTTCATCTACAATGTCTCTTTAAATCTATGTCTATCCATCTATCCATCGTATCTATCTATATTAATCTACCTATCTCTCGATTTGTAGCAAGCAGACACGCACCCACTTTGGAAGGGACTCATTCTCGTTCTTTTCCCTAGGCGCACCCACAACCCGGTGGACCCGGCATCCCTGACATCATCTATTTGGTACCTGTCAAGAGGGGCCTGTTTAGGATCTTGAGGGAAGCAGCTCAAGCTGCTCAGGTACGGGAGGGAAGGAGGGACGAAGGGAGGGACGGAAGGAGGGCCGGAGGGAGGGATGGAGGGAGGGAGAGAGGGAGGGAGGGAGGGACGGAGAGAGGGAGGGATTCCTCCAGTCGCACACTCGTTTTCTCATATCGACACGTGACGGGAAATCATCAGCGGCTATGATATGGACAGCTGGCGGGAAATTAACAGCCAAGGGACTGCAAGATACGCAGCGCCGGAGGAAATTCTGTTGACACTATGCTTCCCGCCATTAGACTCGGCAATTCCGAGGGCCTTCCCGCCAGATCCTGGACAAATTTCCCAGGACTTCCCGCCAAACTCTCGGCAGGAATTCCCGCCCGATCTAACGATCTGACTAGTACTTTAGACACCCCTCGTGAGCCCTTTGATTGGCAGCAATCAATCATGATTGACACCCCCTCCTCCTCCTCCTCCTCCTGCAACTTCATCTGACATCAGCCTGCCTGTCCCTTTCTTTTCTTGCATGTCGTTGCCACGTGTCACGCTCTACGCTCCTCTCACACTCCCCCTCATCTTCTACTACCCCCTCTATGTTCCACTTCTTTCAATCTCAATTCCAATCATCCACATTACCGCCTACCTTCCCGCCTTTTCGCCCATCCCCCCCCTCTCCCCCCCCCCTCTCCTCTCACTTTGGAGACAGAATTAACCTGCTTCTGAGTCCC